AAAGTAAACAAAATCTAATAGATCACTCCAAATCTGAATTCAGGGTTCATGGTAAATTTGCATCTTCAAAATGCACAAATTTTTACATGAATGAAGCATTCAACTCATGTGTCCCCAAATAAGGCAAGGATATGAGAAGAAAAGAATTAACAAAGATAGGATCAAGAATTACTAAATTCATATATAAGAAGACAGTAGGAAGAATAATAAAACCCAAGAGCTGTTGCTTCGAAAATGCTAATACATTTGACATCCTCTACCAAAGCTAATAAAACAATAGAGGAAATAGAAGAAATGTCAATACATTCATAGTGAGAAGGGACGATGCGGTGGTGGTTTTGGTCACTAAGTTGTGCCTCACTCTTTGCCATCCCACGGACAGGCTCCTCTGTCCATGGGATTTCCCAGGCAATACTGGAGTGGGTTGCCATCTTCTCTAGGGGATCTACCTGACCCAGGGATCAAACCTGGGTCTCCTGGTTGGCGGCAGGATCCATTACCACTGAGCCCCTGGGAAGCCCAAGGTGGCTATAGCTGAGAAGGGACTTTAACAAATACAAAAGTGCTATTTTTTTTAAAGAAATATGTTTTAATAAGGAAACCATATTCACACACACTCAGCCCTATGTTCGGGGGTAAACAGATCTCCCTGTAGGTGTATCAGAGGTAGCGACCACCAAACACATCTATAAGTAAACTCATATTCTCCTCCCTGCCTTCACCCCAAATATGTTCCTTCTCTAAATTTTTCTCTTAGTAAATGGCACCACTATCACGCTTCCCTGGTGGTTCAGAGGGTAGAGTCTGCCCGAAATGTGGGAGGCCTGGGTTCCATCCCTGGGTTGGGAAGATCCCCTGGAGAAGGAAATGGCAACCCACTCCAGTATTCTTGCCTGGAGAATTCCCACGGACAGAGGAGCCTGGGGGGCTACAGTCCATAGAGTGGCAAAGAGTTGGACACGACTGGGGAACTTCATCACGCTTAATCCGGAGACAAGAGAATTTTATTTCATTTTCCTTATAATACACATCCCATCAAATTACTAAATCTTGGTTGCTTTTATTTTTCACATGTATCTAAAATAGCCCACTTCTTTTCATCTACACCAATATCCTCCTCTAAGCAAACATCATTTTTCACTTCAGATTCATCAGTAGCATTCTACTGGTCTCCTTTCATTCACTCATGGCCCCATCTAAACTATCATCCAGTCAGCTCACGATTTGCCTCCTTGCCTGGAAACCACTGAGTGGCTCATTGCTCTTAGAATAGAGGGAAAATTCTCTAGCATGAATGATAGGGTTCTACCTAACATAGTTCCTGTCATCCTGATTCTAGCCCCCCTTTTTTCATGCTCCATATATACACTCTTTCACGTACTTAAGAGCATGCTTTAAAATTTTTACACATGACCTACCATCAACCTTTCCATGCCCCCTTTGCATCTAGATAACTTCTACAGAGTCTTCAGCTGTAAACTTGAAAGTTACTTTCTCAGAGGAGCCTTGTTTGCTGTCTCTTCCTCTTTTCAGACAAGGTTAAGTCCCCTATAAAATTCATCTCATTCATAATAATTACTCTTACTAGTAAGCTTACTGTAAGCTCTGTGAGAATAGGCACAGGATTGAACTTTGGGGACCCCAGCAGAAGAAATGCTTCAAATAATATACTAGAGTAACACCAGAAAAAAAAACATGACAATGTGAAATTTTCGGTTAACATCATAAATGTGATCTTCAAGGCTGCTGGTGGTGAAGACATAAGAAAGTGAGAAAAACAGTATTGGAAATTAGGAGGGGATCCTTTTTAAATAGTGGCACAAAGTTTAGGAACACTAACACCTACAGGAACATGGAAGAATTTAAAAAAAAAAATGTGCCTACAGGCTGGGTAGTTTAACTAAGGAGATATCCACATGTAGTATTGCAGGTTTTGCCTGTGTTCTTATAGACATTTATAGTAAAATGCAAAAGGAGAGAGATGAGCTAAAGGATTGTTAAATATAAATAATCCAGGAATTGTTTGGTTTGAAAACTATCAATTTCTAAAAATAGTAAAGAGTGCTAAGTAAAAATGACTCTGGGCAAAGAACAAATTGAGGACACTGTCAGGAGAACATGGTCTAAATATGAAGCTAAGTTTATGACCATATAGTATTTTCTTCATATTTCAAAAACCCTTAACTAGGTGCCTCCAAGAACCATCCGAACAGGGCTTCTAAACAACGAAAAGTGTTGTCCTCGCTATAAACATCCACGTGTAGGTTGGTCTGTGGACATAAATTTTCAGCCTTTGGTACCAAGGATCTCAATTGCTAGATGCTAAGAATGTGTGCGATTCATGGGTTCACAAAGAGTTGGACACGACTGAGCGACTGGACTGAACTCAAGAAGCTGTTTAGTTTTATAAGAAACACCAAATTGTCTTATAAAGTAGCTGAAGCATTTTGCATCCCCACCAGCAATGAATGAGAGTTCCTATTGTTCCATATCCTTGCCAGCATTTGATGTTATCAGTCTTTTAAATTTCTGCTCTTCTAATAGGTTTATGGATGGCATCACCGACTCAATGGACATGAGTTTGAGTAAACTCCAGAGTCGGTGATGGACAGGGAGGCCTGGCGTGCTGCAGTCCAGGCGGTGGCAAAGAGTCGGACACGACTGAGCAAATGAACTGACTGACTGAATAGGTTTATAGCAGCATCTTGTTCTTTTGATTTTCCTTAATAATATATGATGTTGAGCATCTTTTTTGTATGTTTGTTTGCCATCTATATATTTTCTTTAGTGAAACACCAGTTCAGGTTTTTTAGCTATTAAAAAAAAATTACTTTTATTATTGTTTAATGTTAAGAGTTCTTTGTATATTTTAGGAAAGAGCGCCTTATCAGGTGCATCTTTTGCCAGTATTTTCTCTCAGTCTGCAGCTTGTCTTTTCATTATTTTGACAGCATCTTTCACAGAGCAGATACTTCTAATTAATTAAGTCTAGTATATCAATTCTTTCTTTCATGGATCATGCCTTTAGTGTTGTATCTAAAAAGTCCTCGCTAAACTCGAGGTCATCTAAAGCTTTCTTACCTTTGTTAACTTCTAGATTTGTAGTTTTGCATTTTACATTTATGTCTTTAACCCATTTTAATTCCTGTGAAGAGTATAAGGTCTGTGTCTAGATTCATGTTTTTACATGTGGATATTCAGTTGTTCCAGTACCATTTATTAAAAAGTCTACATTTGTTTCATTGTGTTGGAACAAATCTTTGTTCCCTTCTCAAAGATCAGTTAACTATGTTTGGGCAGGTCGACTTTTAGGCTATCTATTCTGTTCCATTGATCTACTTGTCCGATAATTCACCAGTATCAGACTGTCTTGACTTTAAAATTGGATAGTGTCAGCTGGACTGTCTTGATTTTAAAGTTAGATAGTGTCAGTTCTCCAATTTTGTCCTTCTTAATTATTGCATTGGTTATTCTGGGTCTTTTTGCTTTCCATAAAAACTTTAGTATCTGTTAATATCTATAAAGTATCTTTCTGGGATTTTGGTTGGGACTGCATTGAATCTACAAATGGATTTATGAAAAACTGACACCTGACAATATTCACAACCTTGGAATATCTTTCCATTTATTTAGTTTTCTAATTTTTAAATGAGAATTTTTAGTTTTTCTCATATAGATCTTGTCCATGTTTTGTTAGATTTATATCTAAGTACTGAATTGGTCAAAAAGTTCATGTGAGTTTTTCCATAAGATTATGGAATAAACTTTTTGGCCAATCCAGTATTTCATTTTCTTTAGCACAAATGTAAATGGTGTTGTTTTTAACTTCAAATTCCACTTGTTCATTGCTATAAGAAAGTGATTGACTTTTGCACATTAATCATACCACTTACCTTTCTATAATTGATCAGTTTCAGTTTTTTGTCGATTTGTCCAGATTTTCTATGTACACATATCTGCAAACACAGTCAGTTGTATTTCTTCTTCCTTCACCTGTATATCTTTTTTCTTGGCTTAGCTCACTAAAATAATAATAATTTTTTCTTTTCTTCTACTTACTTTGATTTTAATTTGCCCTTCTTTTCTATTTCCCTAAGGTGGGTGCTCAGATGATTGATTTCAGATCTTTGTTCTTTCCTAATATACACATTCACTGCTATAAATTTCCCTCTAAGCACTGCTTTCACTACATCCCACAAATTTTGATAGGTTGTATATTCATTTTTATTTAGTTCAAGATACTTTTAAATTTTCCTTGAGATTTCTTCTTTTACACATGTTATATAGAAATTCTTTATAGCTAAGTTTTGGGATTTTCCATTCAAACTTTTAAAGAAACTGAGAGCATCTAGTATTGATGAAATATTCTCATACATATGGGACCATAAACTGATATGAATTTTGGGGGTATGTTTTCTGCTATTCTATAAAATTTTTTTAATGTACATTCCCTGTGATCCAGAAAAGCTAAACAATTAGAAACCTAACATTCATAAAAATTTAATACTATTTATTAGTTATTATAAGCTATGTTGCAGTGACAAATGAACCACAAAAATCTTACCATACACACAGTAAATGTTTATTTCTTGATCACGCTATACATTCATTATAAGTTGGCAGGCATTTTGCGCTACAGAGTCATTCCAGGTCCCAGGCTCATGAGGACATCATTCTCTTCATGTTCACATCTCTGTGCTTGTCTTTCGGGGAAAAAAAGATCTGGATACCAGCACAGAAGCTTTTCACTTCCTCCTAGAAACGACACTGGTCAGGATCTGCCTACAGGCTACTGGCCATGATTCGTCTCATGGACCTGCTGAACAGAACTGTAATTTTCCCACACCCCAGGAGGGAGAATGTAAGACGTTAATGGGTTCTAAACATCTCTGCCTCAACTATACAATTAGGTAGGTACATATTTATCAACTTTGGATCTATCTCTGTAATGTACTGTCAAAAAAAAAAAAACACCACCACCACCACCAAATATGCTGCATTTAGCTAACTTTATTTTGTGAAAAAGAAATATCTCCACATTTCTTGATAATATTTTCCGTTATTAAGTCCTGCTCTTTTATTCCTCCCCATTTATTTCCTTGCTTTTCTTTATTTCTATTCAAGCAGGTCCACAGCTCTGGTGTTTCCTCTCTGGAGGAGGAATGGGAAGGCGGATAGCAGAGGACTACAGACTCCAAGATCTGGATCCTCAGCCCTGAGAAAGCACGCTGAGCTTCATGCATCACGCAGCCACCCCCCAACTGCACAGTTCTCCTTGGGTGGCTCAGATATGCAAGACGTGCCATCTTCTTCCTGTAAACTTGCTCATCATCCTATGCTCCTTACTGCCACCACCTCGCACCCCATCTGTCCAGAGGCCAAGGTCACAACCTGAGGAATGACTTCATTACACAATCACCAGGTCCCAAACATCTCATTCTCCATCCATCTCCTTCTCGACACCTCCATGACCACCTTCATCTTTCATTAATGTGACAGCCTCTGATCCTGTCATTTGCCTCCAGCCTTCCTCCTCTTCAATTTATTTTGACGCACAAACCAGACTCTGTCACTCCTTTATGTAAGTCCTGTAACACAGTCCACTTAGGTCTCAGGATAAAATGACTTTCAAAATCACTCAAGACATCATACCTGCTGCCTTTCAAGCTTCTTTCTCATGGTCCTTCTTTCCAAAATGCATGCATTCTCTCGCCAAGCACTTACACATCTTGCCTGGAATTCCTATCTATTTATGTTGGATTCATGTCCATTTTTCTAATGGGGTGTTTTCATGGGCCCTGGTTATGTGGGTACAAGTTGAAGAGCCTGTCAGAGCCACACCTTCGTGCAACTCAGGCTCAAGGAGTGGGCTTTGAGAGGACAATTCCCGTCCCCAAAAAAAAGGCTTTTTAGACTCGCAAAGGCAGTTCCTCTCTCTGCCTTCTTTATCCCTTTATCTTCCTTTAATTTCTTTGTCATACAATACTTTCTTCATAGCATTTAATACAACTTGTAATTTTACTTTTAACTTACTTCTCCCTATTATCTCCCTCACTCTTACTGAATTTTAAGGTACATTAAAGATCTTGCGTATCTTCTTTACAGCAGTATCCCAAGGGCCTACTACATAGAGGGCCTCAAAAAAGTCCTTTTGGATGCATAAATTAAAGAACAAGTGATAGTAATAACAATGACAACACCTAATTATGTTCTTATAGTTCTCAGTCAAGAACCATTTAGTAAAGGCACCATATTTTCAGCTTTCTTCTAGTCACTTGAATTCATTTAAAGGAGGTGGAAAATACCAGACTACCTCATTCTCAAAGAATGTATAATCTAGCTCAGGATATAGGTATACTTGCAACAATGTAAACCCTACAGAGAACAGTTCAGGTGCCTGCCCATGGACCTCATGTTATTTAATACTTTTACTGTACTAGGTTCTTTAAAGGACTTTTTAAAATGCAATACATTGTCCTGCTCAAGAAACTCTCATTTGTTTGGAGAGCCAAGGTAAGTACATATGAGGAATTAGGAATTACAACATAAAGAATAAATTATTAGTTTCAAAAAGTTCTCTAGACAACAAATATCAGACCCCCAACTTTTCCTCTGAGACACAATTTCCTCATGTGTAACAATGTCATTGTAAAGATCAAAATACATATTATATAAATGTAGATAACACTACAGATTCAAAACACAATATTAAAAATCAAAATAAGTTAAATAAGCCACAGAAAGCACAAATGTTGTCTCATTTGCAGCCCGTGTCCTTGTTTTTTCATTGCTCCTACTTAATTTTGACTGCAACATTCTTACACATGAAGGCAAACCTTTATCAGGCTTATGGAACTAAGGAACATTTCTTGGTTAAGAATACCTTTTCCTGTGGCTCACCCATTTTCTTTCATTTAAACAAGCGAGTATTGATAAGTACTATTTAGCACTGTGTGGGGGTGGGGGGGGGTGGAGAATACAAAGTGAAGTAAGATTCCTTTCCTGAAAGAAAGATGAAAATTAAGAGATAAGATGCAAAACAAGCAGCAGACTGAAGCCACACCCCCTGATGCCAATGGGAAGACAGTGAGTTTCATGAAAGTAAACAGAAAATCGCTTTGTGACAGTCTGTTTGACAGGCAATGTGCTCAACCAGTGTCTGTGGTCTAGATTCCATCCCACAGGAGAGGTTCTTACTTTTTACTTATTTTTGTATTCCTTGAAATGTTGTTAGGTTTGTGTAGCTTTTATATTCACAAAACTCCCTCTCTCTGTATGGAGAGTACATAGAAATAACAACTTCTAGGGAAGTATCAAACCCCACATTCTGAAACTATAGTCACATATATAGAAGTTCTTAGGAGTTTCAATAGGAAAACAGTTAAAATGTAACTGCAATGAGAACAGATGAGTGGTTGCTAGGAGTCAGAATGGGGGTAAGGGAGATAGTGTGTTTATAAAAGTGTAACAGGAGCATCCTTGTGGTGGCCAAACTGTTCTGTACTTTGTCTGTATCCATGTCAGTATCCTAGCTGTGATGTCATACACTGGTTTCACAAGATATCATCGCTGGGGGAAAGTGAATTAAGGGTATGAGGATCTTGTCATACTATTTCTTACAACTGCACATGAACTTAAAATTACCTCAAAAGTTTAATTTTAAAATAACAGCAACATTATAACCAACTGGATAAAATCAGAATTCATGAGCCCATATCAGTGCAAATAAATGAATAAATAAATGGGAGACGGCAAAGCTTTTTTTCAAAGTAGAGAGCTAACTAATACATTTTAAAAAGAGAATTAGAAATTCATTTGGCAACCATCAGTGAATGATTCATTCATCCAAGAAATATCAATGGATGGTAAAATCAGATATTAAAATTTGATGAAGAACAGAATATTTCCTACAAAATGCTTATTATAAAAGAAAAAACAGGTTTTTGGTTTTTTTTCCCCACAGTGGCAAAATATGGCAGACATCATCCTAAGAAATCCAGTTAACGTTACCAATAACAGAACAAATCATCATGTGCTCCTTGACAGGATGCAGTGAGAAGAACCACAACAGCACCTTACTTACACTGAAATTTGAATTTCATATAATTTTCATGTTTCAAAAAATATTCCCTCCCCCCCCAACCCGATCACTTTGAAGTGATTTTTAAATGTAAAACCCATTCTTAGCTCACAGGTTATACAAAAACAGGTAGATTTGGCCAATAGACCATAGTTTACTAATCTCTACTTTAGATTTGTAAATGATCTTTACCTGCCATATCATTAAACAGATTAACAGTAAGTAACCTGTGAATATGAGCACTATCAATCAAAGAATCAGAGAACTTTTATTTAGACTATACAAAGTACAGACGAATGTTACAGACTAACAGATCCCTGCTGTGGAAGACTGATGACTTGCTTTGGCTCTCTGTTATACACATTTCTTCTGTCAGAGGGTGCCTAAGTTCAAGTCCATCCCAACACAAAGAAACAACCCCAAGCCTCTGAGCCATTTTGGATCAGGTACAACTCACTTTGTGTTAAAAAATAAGCAATTTGTTTCCAAAGGTCTTGTAATAATGAAGGGACCTGATAAAGTATTTCTATGTTTTTTATCTAGCACAAGTCACACTCTGGGTTTAAGAAGAAAGGCTGGAAACAATATCACCAAATTCCATTTTAGAAGCTGAGAGACTCATGGAATAAGTGAGAAAGATGGTGAACAATGGAACATAAAGCAATAGTTAACTGGGAAAGAACATGAGAAAACCAATAAGACTCACTAATTATATAATGTTAGTTGAGGTTTCGAATCCAGGAAATTGTTTTCACTGGGGAAAAAAAAAAACCAGCAACAAAACATGGTTAATTTGTGAATAAGAGTTTTTAGGCATTTGATTTCTAGCAGTCTTACAACTACCTAAATTTAAAAGTTCAGAATCCTATTTCAAATGCTCACTGAGACATTCATTTGAATAAACACCTTGTTTATTTTCCCCCATCTTAGTAATATATGGAAAAGAATATAATTAGCATATAACTGGGAGGTACCTTTTATCTTCTTAGTTATTAAAAACATAAAGATAACTAAGTTTATAAACTCCTGGTAAGAGTTTGCCATAAAGTCATCATAAAGTTTTTATAAAATGAGTTTTTCCAAAAGAAACTCACTCACATAGTTACACTGCTGAGATGAAGTATTATCCTAAGATGATATCTCTCCTTTCAGACAACATAAACCACCACCTCTCGGACACTGAAGAGACTTATGACTCTGAAAAAAACAGCAGTTCTGAGCTGGGGAAGCATATGGTGGGTTCCCCTCTGAGTTCAGAAGCCCCTGTGGCAGGAACAGAAAGAGGTCACAGAAGGCGGACACCATGCAGTGCAAAGATGACTCTTGAACAAGCGAACAAGCGCTGACCAGAACCATACGTTGCCAAACACTGATTCAGAATGATTTATTAAAGTCCATGTAGCATGTTTTTAAATTTCAAATAGTCCACATCTTCAGAGTAAGTGTGCGTGAATAAAAGTCCAAGTTCATTTCTTTCCTTCCTCTATAAAATGCTCTGTATTTTGCATAAAACCTGTGCAGACACCTTTCTGCTGGCTGCTTCCCCATCCTCCTCCTGGTCTGGGCAGAGGCTGCCCTCTGCTCAGACGGGGGCCAGACGCTGACTCCCTCCTTCCTAAACAGACATTCTTCTCCCGGACATCTCTCTCAAACACACTCCTAGCTTTCCCACACCTGCTTCATGTTGTGACTTTACTGGTTACGTATTACTACCAACCGATGCAACAATTAGTTTACCTGGACCGTTAAACAGGCATCACCCGACATGGTGGCATCCGTGGGGGTGGCCCTAAAGAACACACAGTAAGCATCTAGTCACATACGGACACACTCAACCCATTTGCTACAGAAGCTGTTTAATATGAAGGTGATCCTTTTATTCATTCGGCATGTTTCATTTCTTTGCATTTTCTTCAATTCTACATTAAAGTTGTGGTTACCAAGAGCTGGGTCATTGTTGCTCAAATGAAATCTGGAATTGCTAAACATATTAAGTAGGGTATCCTGGCTGTTTGTGACAACAGATTGTTTCTAGTCCATTTTGTTATATAAAAAAGTCACTCTCAACTAAAGTAACCACTGCATTTCCTTTGTAAAAAGGTAATTTAACTGGCTTTCCTCACTGTTGCCACCCACACAGGGCAAAAGTAGGAAATCTCCTTTTATAAAAGGTAAGAGCATAAAAAGACATTTCACATTTAAAAAAAAATCCTTCACGGGAATGTACCCTAAGTAAATAATCAATTATATGGACAAAGTTTTATGTACATAAATTTTTGCAACATTATTTATAATAGTGAAAATTAGACATAACCAACAATACAGGAATGGTTAAATTGAGTTGCATCCATTAAATGGAATATTATATAGCCATTAAAGTCATGTTTTTGTAAAATTTTTAATGCCATAGGAAAATGTGGCAATTCTGCAGTGGAAAAAAACAAACTGGTTACAAAATTGTTTACAGTATGACTGCAATTATATAAAAAGGTATACAATATACATATAGCATACACAGGGGGAAAAGCTGTTAACTGTGGTTACTTCTGGGTTGTGATATTATCAGTATTTTTTCTGTTTTATACACATCTGTATTTTTCAAGTTTTCTACAATGACTATGTATTATAATACAGAAAAACACAGGTTATTAAAAAATTCCTCTGATGAACTGATAATTAGAATGGACTCAGGTACTATAAATATGTGGGACCATACCACTGTGCTCATCTTCTATAACTTTTATAGAGTACATATTCTTCTGATAATAAACTTACATTTCCTGTTTTATACATGTTACAACACTTTAATGAAAAAGGTAATATTGTGATTAGATCATTGTTTGTTTCATAACCTAAACAAATACTGGCTTTGACATCTAGGTTTTTCTATTTCCTAGAATATTTAAAATTAATACTCTTTTGTCTTTTTAAGTATGGCATACTGCATACATACATTTTCATGCATGCTTTCTAAAAACGTAATTCTAATTTACAGTTTTCCTAACATAAGGAAAAAAATGGAGTTATAAATCATTTAAAAACAGTCTACAGTCTTATCCATCACAGGCATGCTGATAGGCATAAACATGTTTATTAAATGAAATGTATCCTTTAAGAAGAAAAAAAGGGAAGCCTGTATGTAAATGAAGTTGTGGATTCAATTAGTCAGAATTTATTCTGACTTGCACCAAACCATACAAAATCTTTTGAAGACTAGTGTAGTGTACATGGACACTCCAGAGTCTGTGTATGAATTTCATTGCAAGATCTCCACTTTCTACTTTCAGAAGGAACGGGAGCAGGATGAGGGGTATCACATAAGCTAATTCTTCAATACATGTCACGTCTTGGTGGGTCAAGGAACAAATACTGCCATGGGTTAGTGTTTAAGTACACGAACGTACTTTTCCTCTTTCTCACACCCCACCCTGCCCTGGCCTGTGGGGAGGGGGAGGCTGTTCATCCCTTAGTGGATGACGAGCCCTCTCGTCTTAGTTTCTCTCCTAAACCACGGAATGGTCATTGCTGTGAACTCCAGCCAGGATGGTGTGGTTGAGGGAGGAGGCGGAGCGGTCAGAGCCTTCCGCGGGGCCGCCGCTGTTCTCACTGCGCTGGCAGCACAGGATCTGCCTGAAGGTGGCGCTCATCTCCTTGTCGCGGTAGGAGTAGATGATGGGGTTCATGGCAGAGTTGAACTCGGCAAGCAGAAGGAAAAACTTCTCATAGGCCAGAACGTCACACTGCGGGCAGCACACGTCGAGAAGTAGCAAGACCAGTCCAGGAGTCCAGCAGATGATAAAGGCACCTGTAGGGTCCGGGAGCGGGAGCGGGAAGGTTTAGAGAAGAGAGAACAGAAAAAGAGAATGATGAAGGGAGCACCCATCTGGTGAAATGAGTTCAGCTCAAGGTCAAAATACTGAGCTTCAAAGACATCAGATCATCATTTGAAATGAAATGTTCATTTCCTGAAATAATCAGAAAAGGTTCTGACAATAAAATGAGCAACCGAATAAAATCTCATTAATTCAGGACCTTACTAAATTGGCTACTTATGAGACATTGATGATTATTTTGAACAAAACAGAGTTTGCCAAACAATTGAGATATGAAATAGAGATATTCAGCATTTAGGATACACACTTTGATGCTTATAAAAATACTGTGTTTTAGAGCAAAAGATTATTCTCAGGAAAAATCACTGTGACAAATGCCCTCTCATTTTAGTTAAAGCACAGTTTCTGGATTCAGTCTGACCTCAGATCCTTGGTTTGTTATTTATTAAATTGGATGAATTTAGGCAAAATACTTTCTTTTTTATTGAAGTATAGTTGATTTACAATGTTGGGTTAGTTTTATGTGTACAGCAAAGTGATTCAGATATATATACTTTTTCAGATTCTTTTTCCATTAGCGATTACTATAAGGTTGTTGAATACAGTAGCCTATGCTATACAATAGGTCCTTATTGTTGGCAAATTGGTTTTCTTACCTGTTTTCTCATCTGAAAAGTAGAAATAATTACATTTACCTCATTTGGTTTGTTGTAGGAGTAAATGAGTGAGTCAGTGAAAGTTGCTCAGTCATGTCTGACTCTTTGCGACCCTGTCCATGGAATTCTGCCAGACTTCTCAGTCCATGGAATTCTCCAGGCAATTCTACTGGAGTGGGTAGCCATTCCCTTCTCCAGAGGATCTTCCTGATCCAGGAATTGAACCGGGGTCTCCTGCATTGCAGGCAGATTCTTTACCAGCTGAGCTTCCAGGGCTAAGAAAATAATCACTCCATGTTTCTTACCAGAAACAATAACAATAATATCGCTATTATCTGCTCTGTAACACAAGCCTGTTTGGAAGTAGCAATTTCCAGTGAAAGATGTATACTTACTTTGATTTTTAATGAGCTCTCACTTAGATGGGGCTTTTCTATATGCTTTACAAATATTAACTCATTTCATCTGCACCATAGCCATGTGAGATAGAAACTGTTATCCCACCACACAGAGGAAGAAACTGAGACCCAGAAAGGTAAAATACCCTGCTCAAGGCCATGGTCCTGGAAAGTGGCAGACCAGAGGCAAACCCCGGAGTTTCTGCTCTTAAACTGGCTCCAAAGTCTATGCTCCAGAAAATGTTACATTCCTACGTCTTAAATTAATAAAATTAAAATTTTAAGCCAAAATTGTATGCTTTAGATGTTTTCCTATTTAAATTCTCTCACTTTCCCAACTCTTCTAAATCATGAAGATTTTACTGTAACTATAAAAGATGGAAAACCAATTATATTCTTAATTCCAATTTATTTAGCTGCTGAAGCCATTCATTTGGCTTCCAGAGAAAAAGGAGGTTTTGAAATAGTGTTAAAATCTACCACCGTGTTAGAGGGATCCTTTATAAGAGAACATGATGGGGTGGGCAAGGTCTTGTCCCATTACATCAAACTTGGATGGCCCCCTTCTGTGTTAATATAATCAGGCTATACAACCAGCAGACAGGGAGTGGGGATAATCCCAGAAGTGCACTGGAATATTTTGATTTAAATGGTACTAGCCTAGGGGGAGGGGAGGCTTGGATTGGGGTCGAGAATCAGACTAGCCTCAAGGAATGAGTTTCACAAAATGTAAACAAATGAGATTTAGTCTCCCAAACAACCCAGTATTGAATGTGAGCTTTCTTTTTTGAAACTTTTCAGCAGGGAAATGAAAATAAAGAAAGGAGAAAAGTACCCCCATAAAGCTCTTTGTTCTAAACACAAATGTCTATTGGTTTTAAACTGCTGTTCACTTTGAAGACCGGCCAAGGTGCTTCATTTTCTAATAAATACAATACCTTAGACTTTCCTTAGAGAGGAAAGAAAAAATATTTCAAATATCAGGAGATAATAGCCATGGAGCTATTTGAAGTAAAAATGTTAATAAAGCATTCATTCCAAGTCCTTGAATTTCCTTGCTTGAAAATCACTCAGAAAGCTAAACATAAAGGAAAATCAAAGGAATGCCTCTTGAGTTTCAGATATAATGCATTATTCATTGAGAAGCTGGGAAGGGAATTATTCTCAGGATGGAAAATGCTTGGATGGAAAATACATGGTCCCATTATTCCATTTACTTGGAAACTAAAAACATGCATGCCTTTCATGAATGGCAGAGCATTCTTTCAAGACTCCTTTTCCCTTTCTTTCATCAAAGCTCTAATTGAGCTCAAATTCAGAGCTGGATTAGATACCAACAACATGCATCTCAATAGATTTTAAATAACATGATCTTTTTTCCCTTCCAGGCAGCAGAAGGGAACATCCTTATTCTCATGGATTTGCTCAAACTGCCTTTCTTCAAAAGTAATAGAATTCAAATACAGTCATTTGTTATTTATAACTTCTCTAATTTTCAAATTCAAAAAGAGCAAGATCTCTGTGATAAAAGCCATGGTCTCCAGAACTAGTCCAATGGGTTTTATCAACCACGCAGGAAGCCTTGCCAGATTAGAGACAGGAAGTGGGAACTCTGTGGCCTGACCAGGAGGTAATACACATGGGTGTTTCATTGAAGAACTCCAAGTCCTCTCCCTTCACAACCACACCGTTCCAACATTCGGTGTTTGGATCTTCAAGACCCGACTAATTTAAGAGACTCAGTACAGACCTCAAAAACTAACATCTAAAATCAGTCACACAGAGCTTTTCTTTCTTGTCCCTTCCCCACTCTTTCACAGAGGTGTGAGGACCAAATTGACCGAAAGCTGAAGGTGGATTATTGCAGTGGAAAAGAGGCCCTGGGAAATTCCTAAGTGATTAGGCTTCTCAACAATAGTGATTGAATAGTATGAGATCAACTTTGCTCAAGTTATGGATTTACCACCAGGCTTAAAACAAAAAGTATATCCAACCCCCTTTAGTAAAAAGGAGCCAACCATCATCCATTCGGGTCAGAGAAATTGAGAAGTGCATTGGGGACCCTGGATCGATAACCTGTGGACAGTCTACCTATACATAATCTGAGGAGATTCAAGTTCACACCCATAAGTTAGGTTGATAAGAATGAAAAGAACCCCCAATCTCCACATGCATCAAGTAGAGAAACAATAGCTCCTGGCCCCCTCCACTGGGTGTGATGAGGATCAGACTGAGATACATGTAAAAGCACTGCACATCTACCTGACCACACTACCTTCTGCCGTCATGGGAGGCATAATGCATCTAGGCTGGTGTAGCACAGTACCAGTGCAGAGTTCCTCCAGGGCAAAATGTGGAAGCATGTTTTACACCATGAAGACCTGGCATTTCAAAAAGTCCTCAGACACCATCCCAATTATAAGAGATTCCTATCACTTGAAGATGGATGTGATAAGAATAACAAGAAGGACAAGAGAAGAACATAGAGAAGCACAGATGCCCCACATCATTTTGGACTTTCTCACTGGTCAACTCAGTACCTACTGAAGATAATGGATAAAATACTGTGGTACTCAATAGAGACAGTCCTTTACGTAGTTTGTGTATTTCCAGAACATTTCTGATGGATGAATCCCCACAGATTAAGGTGTAATACCAAGAAGTGTTATGCAACAGCATGAAAGAAAGAGGAAGCACAAGTAGTTTGTGGTCGCTTATTGTAAAGTCAGAAGCAGAAGTACCAGAAGAGAAGATGTTCAAGATCATACAGAGCCTGTATGACTTAAGGTTTTTCCAGCACTGACTCTCAGAATAGCCACATACTATAATATGTGGCTGCAGAACATATAAGAAATACTTCATCTACCTTCTGAGATTTTAACTTCATCAGCCTCATTGGCTGATATTGGCTGGTTTAATATACAACACTGAAACAGAAAGGAAGAAAAAAATGATCGAGATAAAGATAAAAGCAAAACCAGATATTTCCAAATCCTAGAGGAGAAATAAGAAGGGCCTGAACAGAGGCAGTGGCAATGAGAGAAGAGAAATATGAAAAGACTGGCAAAGTATTTTAGAGATGAGTTGAGACTGATTTCTAGATCTTCCATTTGGGAGAAGGAAGGATGGTGCTACCTTCCACTGAAGGAGGAAACACAGAAGAAAGTGTTGGCTGGTGTTTTCTGAGGGGAGGTGAGGAGAATGTAGATGATGCCCTCGATTCTTATTTAGCTTTAGCTTGAGGAAACTGCATAAGTTCAGATGGGAGATGCTCTGAAGACATCCCGATGGGCTCATGGCAATTTGAGTCCTCAAAGACTCTCTCGGTGGGCTGAACAAGAGCGGTTACATTCTGCACAATTTGCCAATATTACAAGTAACATGGAGAGAAGACTACTCAAAATATATTGTGGGTTGGAATAAATAGCAGAGCAAGCTTCATTCCTTTCTTCTGCATCTGTCAAATCGATCTGTGAGGGCCCCGGTGCCCACAAAGATGGAAGGAGAGGTGCTGGAATGTAAAAGCAAAAAACAGGGAGGAAAGAGGCTGTTTTAGAACAAGAGGTCACAGCTGCAGAACCAGATCAGATTACCACACCTTCCCTGAAATCTACACACCCCCATCAGCTGAATAATGCTTACCATCTGGTCTCACAATTAGAGGCTTTTTTTTTCTAGAGGGACTTTTTCCTAACTAGTTGAACTTTGTTTACATATGGAACTTAAGAACTAAAGTTAAAGAGAAAAAAATGTCTGAGAGAGAAGACCTTGTGGGAGGGAGTCCAAGGTTTTTGATGAAAAAAACAGAAAACACTTCCAGTCTGGCGGGCGAATTTGTGCTTTTACAAAAAATCAGACATCCGCAGATCTAAAAGCAGTCAGGGCAAGTCCATTCTATACCACTGCTGTGTCCAAGTT